GTACCACCTAAATCCTCAACCCTTCGCCGTTCCAGTTGACATGAGGGTCTGTGATCGTGAGATAACTGAACTGCAACTCCTTTTCTACAGAGAACAGCACGGCAGTCGCCAACATTTGAAATAAGTAAATGCCTTCCAAGAACCAGGGCAGTAATTGCTGTTGTTCCACAGTACGAATCAACACTATTTTGTTCATCAGCCAAGGCAAGATCAATCAATGAAAATGCTTTGCGATGAGCTCTCACCAAATCTTGCAAGAATTTTTCGTCATTATCAGAAGTTTGAGGTAAAATGGCATCCTCAAAAAAGAATTTCATTGCATTATTTTTGACATAAGCTGCAGCATCTGAGCCTCCATGGCCATCAAAAACAGCATAGAAGGCACTTGGTTGAGACCACTTGTAAAGAGAACCTAAATGTGCAGATAAATCGTCAATCCGAATGTGTTCATCCTCATTGGAACAGCGGGGTCCAATATCTGAGTGACTACCTGAACAAATGCTTGGAACAAATTTGCTACTGGGACTCTCAAAAACAGTAGTAATATGGCCACTCGTTGAGCAGCTACGAGCCTGGTGATAGAATAAGACATCTTTTTTAGCATATATCCAACAACAAACCTCAATACTGCAAGTAAACATTAAAACAGAGCAAGTCTTATATTGAATGGAAACTCGAACAATTATTCATACATTTTACTCACAGGGAATCAATCATGTTGAAGTATTGTCTCAAAAATTTATTCTGCTACGTATTAATTCTCGTGGAGAAAATTCATTTATTTATTCAATTACCAAGAAAAATTCTTCCTGAAACTAGCCAAAACGCAAGTTGTCACAGCTTTTCTTTAGCTTTTAGATCAAGCAAGTATTAGATTACTGTCAGAACATTCATTCAGTAAATTATCCATCTTCCATTCACAATATTTTAAGTTAAATATTATTACTTATGGACCCAACAAGTTCTTCAGAAACCAATTAAAGAACACATCAAGAAATATTTTTAGCCAAATCAAGTTAATCCACCAAAAAATACAACTCCCATACTTTGGCAAGAGAAACATCCTTCGAGTAGCATAACACACTCACACAAAAAACATACATACAATATATATGCTCGTAAATACTGAAAATGTTAAAAAACCAATATTCATATTGAGTAACCAAGAAGAAGCTCCTAGGCAAAATAACAAGAACCATAGTTTCTTCCACAAATACGAAATAGTCATCTGGCTACAAAAACGAATCGCAAACCCATGATAGAAACAATTATTTCAATAACTAGTATTACTAACACAAATCACGAAACAAGATTCAAGAACAGGAGAAAAGAGAATTTCAATATTAATGTCATACCGATTCAGAACGACAGATTTCGATTGAAATCTCCGATTCGGAGGCGCAGCAGATCTGAGATCGAGGCGGCGTAGTAGTAGTAATACCAGGAGTATCCACCGCTACCGCCGCCGATGAGACATCGAAGAATTCCGCTTCAATATTGGTCGACTTTTCCGCGCTCAAGTACTTAACGGAAACGCTTTGCCGGCAAAAAATCTCTCTTTCTGCCACCATTTTTTATAATAGTAGTGAAATTGCTTACTGAATCGCAGGAAAAATAGCTTATTTTGATTGTATAAGAGATTAATTTCCAGGAATTCTCGAGGGAAAAACGTGAAGAAGAAGGGGCAATCGGCTTATATATATATATAGGGTTAGGTTTCGTTAATTTGACTGATTGGGTTATCATTTATTTCATATTTTCACATGCGGCGTGGAAT